CGGCCGGCCGCTCGGGACACGTGGCACCCCGCCGCCCTGGGCCCGCCGCTGGCGCCCCGCTTGGGAATGGACTTAACATGGCCTTTGGCTTGAAAGCAGCCGTGCTGTGGGCCGGGGGAGGCCTTCTGGAGCCGCGCAGCCGGGGAACCCCCACACCTGGCTGGTCTCTCCGCGGCTGAGAATTCCGGGAACCCCCACACCTGGCTTGCGCGCCTCTCGGCGGCTGAGAATTCGCCTGGCTTCGGCTGACGAGAAGGTCCGAGGAGCCCAGAAGGCCCAAGGAATAAGGAGCAAGTGGGGAGGCGCCCCCTGCATCACCGTCACCCCGGGAACCTGCGACCTGGACCGGGCTCATCTGGGCCAGCACCAGGGGCCCCAGGTAAGACTCCAGGGCGCCGCCCTCTGTCAGGGTTTTGTCGTGTTTGGGGGTCACGTTTCTGCCGGCTTGGTATCATGGTTTTGTTCCCCGAGAAAGGGGGCCGCTTGGCGTGAGCTGTGACCCCGCCCGGAAGTGGTTCTTGTAACTGTGGGAGAAGTCGTTGCTTCATAAGAGCGTGACATCGCGTTCAGAACTGCCCAGGGCCCCCTCCAGGGGGCATGCAACAGGCCTGGGGTGGGGGTTGGGGCGAGGGCAGAGCCAGCGCAAAGCCAGGCCAGGTGTCTTGCGTTTCCAGTTAAGACTGGACGCACAGCGGCCGCCTTCCGCCTAATCACCATGCGCACGTTTTCCTGCGCCTTGAATTCCTCCACCTGTGGACTTCAAGGCCGCGTGAGAGCTTTCGTTCTTTCTGGAACATCAAAGATGAACAGATTAAGCTGGTGACAGTCCGATGGAAGCTGGGGGCGTCTGACCGTGCACGACTGCATTCCGCCGGCCAGTGTCCTCTGGTCAGTGAGGGCGTGGAAGTGGGGCCCAGCCAGCGGGGTCAGAGCTCTCTGCCTGCCCTGCCCTGCCCTGCTGGGCACTGAGCCCGGTCAGCTCCTCGCCGGCACCGAAGCCAACAGAGGAAGGCGTGGATACCGCGGGATTGGTGGAGACATGCACAGGGCTGACGGCCCCTGGAAACAGGAGCGTCTCTCCTTATGTCTCTGGGCTTTCTTGGAGAGAGTGCCCGTGAGCTGACGGGTCAAGGGGAGACATGTTACACGCAAAATGTTAAGACGCACAAACATCCTTTTTTAAAACCTGGCAGTGCCCGCTCCCACCTGCCAGTGAGATAAAAAACCAAGTTTCCTAGCAAGGCCTGGTGCTCCCTCGAAGGCTCAGCTCCCCTCTTTTCCAAGCCGTCGGTTGCTTTGGTTGTTTTTGGACAAGTGTTTCTCAGAGACGCGCCTCAGGTGCGCTGGGTCAGAACTCCTTAGGGAATGTGCTTATTAACACGTGGCTCCCAGAAATTTGGATCGGAGGTCCAGGGAGGGGCCGGAAAGGTCAGCAGCACAAGCTCCTCAGCTGACTTTGATGCAGGGCTGAGCTTGCAAAAACCAAGTTGATTCAGGCCTTCCCAGAGGTGGGCGCGGGGAGCAGGCCGTGCTTTGCCCTTCGCCAAGGAGCGCTGTGTGAGGAGGGGCACCCACTTCTTCACCCACTTCTTTGTAGATCATCCCGCTGCGGTAAACTAGGGCACGCCGCCCTCCCCCCTCCGTGGCCATCATTTCTGCTGTGCTCTTGTGGAGTGAAAGCGTTTGCTTTGCGCCTCTGTCGAGCAAATGCTATTTTCTACTCGTAAATGGATAACAACGAGGACCTGAGAAAAGCTGTTTGTTTTTTCTTTATTTCTCCCCTCTCTCCCCCTCCAGTAGGGCTTGATATTCTTGGCTTGTGGCTGTCTAACTTTTCTCAAAGGATACAGTTTCATTTATAGGAACGTTTCTTTTACTGGCTACGAGAGAGTTGGCCGTGAGAAAGCCTGGAAACGTCCGGCTGTGCTTTGCTGCAAGGAGTGGTAGCTGCGGTCTGCTGAAGTCGAGTCTCGCCAAGATCAACTTTGAGGGCAGAAGGGGAGGGCAGGGCAGGTCCCTCTGTGTGCGCACCGGAGGGGTCGCTGGAGGGGCTTGGGGGTAGTTCCCAGCTCATTTCGTTCCGGTTCCTCTTCATGACCCCCAGATGAGCTCAGGGCCAGCCGTGTTCCAAGGGAGGGTCGAGCGTCTGCCTGCCTGTCTCCTGGTTTTCAGAGCGATGCCGTACCCTGAGTCTGCGTCAGCAAGCGTCTTCTCTTGGGGAGCAGAGTGAACAAAAGGCAGCTGGCCGAGGCGCCCAAAGGCCATAACCGGCCCTTGGTTTCCCGCCTGCGTGGTTGGAACTGTCCAGTTAGGCTCAGTGCATGAAGTGGGAGACCCCGTCCTGCCCCCACCATGAGAAAAATAACCAGACCCAGGTGTGCGAGAAAAACGTTTCAGAGTGGTAACACAGGTAATTATTTCCTAGGTTGGGCTGAGGGTGTCACACCTGGGCAGGCCACAGAAGGTCACCGGGACAGGTTAAGACGACGAGGAGCCCGCAGCAGCCTGGGTGGGGGCGTCTCAGCCTCAGGGAAGCTGGGTGCCTGGGCCCCAGAAACAGCCCAGGAGAGACGACTGTCGGACGGGAGGTGAGGCAGAGCGAGCCGGGGACGTGGCCGGTACCAGGCGTCAGGCGGGGCCCCGCGACCCACGAGCTGCTGGGGACACAGCCCCAAGCAGCGGGACGGCCGTCGGGAACCCCTCGAAGGGTGGCTTGGGGCGCCGCAGAGGTGCATTAGAGCACCTGGCTGAAGGGCACCTGGCCTGAGTTAGCCTCGGCTGCTGCCCCGGGCCAGACCACGGCTGTACAGGAGCCGGGCCAGGGCGGGCAGGTGGGCGCGGCTCTGACCACAGTGGCCATGGTTCAGGCCTGGCGGGGGCCGCGCATCTGAAAGGTCCTTCCCTTTCAGGCCCAGGGGGGCCGCTGACCCCCCTGCTGGTGCACCTGTGGCCTGGGGTGCTGTCTGTGCTACCCCGGCCCTCTCTGGGGGCGCAGACCAGCCTGAGACAGCTCCCCTTGTGTTCCGGGCACAGCCTCTTGCAAGCCCAGCCTGAAGGCCCTCTCCGCGGAGGGGAGGCCTGTCCGCTTCACTCTGCCGGCTCCGCGGGGCCAGGGCACCTGCAGAGCCTGACCTGGCCTCCGCCCGCCCTGCCCTGGGTGGGGCTCCTGGGTGGTAGTGCCCGTCCCTCCTGCCGCTGCCTGCTGGACCAACGCTGACTCCGCCTCGGCACACGCCTAGAGGGTCTAGCGCTCGCCCCGTTTTATTGAAGACACTCTGGCGAGAGACGCTGTCGGCTGGGCCCGATCTGAGCCCGGCTCACCGGGCTGGGCGGGTCACCTGCCCCACTGCCACCTCCGCGTTCGCTGCGTGTCCTCACCTCGCCGTCCCCAGCGCGGGGCGGGCTGATGTGCACCTGCGCGGTCAGGAGTCGGGGTGGGTTGTCCTGGCCAGGCTGACGGAGAGGCCGGGGCTGCGCGGGGAGCTCCCAGAAAAGCAGCGCATTCTGGGTGATCACAGCCCTGTGTGGGGGCACACGTGGGGGGAGGGGGCGGGCAGGCGGGTGTGGCTGGTTCCGTGCAGATGTCCTGGTGGGCTGGTGCACACGTTTATATTTATATATGTATGTGTATGTGTGCGTGTATATGTGTTTTTTAAGTAATGGACGTTTGGTGCACATCACCAAAGTGTTTTTCTTCTAAGTAAGTTTCTTTCTTTCTTTTTTTTAAGATTTATTTATTCATACAGAACTGGGGTACAGGCCAGAGATGCGGAGGGTGAGAGGCTTCACCAGAGACAGAGTGGG